GCGTTAGTTCTCGTTCGGTGTCTTTTATACACAGTAAAGTCTCCAAGCGGCGGACGTAGCTACTTGCAAAGGTACGTACGTGTGTTGTCGGCGGTCGGCGGCGTCAATAGCTTCAACGAGCCGCTAGACAAAAAAAGAAAAAAACGAATGCCGAACTCACATGGATAAATAACTTGAGCAAACTATTTAGAGTCGGGCGGTAACTTGCGCCACCTATCGCGATTTCTAGCAGCCTGTTTTTAAAAAAAAGACGAGTCTGTTAACACTGGGAACGACCACGGCCACACAGCAACCCTACATACAACGCAGGCAACACAGCACACAGCTACACGGCACCGACATATACACAAACACAACAACCGACACAACGCCCGACACTTCCTACTCGATATCCATTTCTCCCCGCGGCGCATATAAGCTTGACATGTGCGGGTGAGCTCCTTGGTCACTGACCATTACAGATTTATAGAATACACAAAACATGGCGCAATGGACAGCCGTGTGTTAGAACTGTTTGCATTTAAAAAGTATGGAGGCAAAATCTATAATGCTAGTCCGTTGCAATAAATAATGATATGTTAACAATAAATCTTAAACCGGTCATGAAAAAGTTCAAATTTTTGTTATTTTCTTGCTTGACCAGTGTTATGAGCTGTCCGACTAGCATGAATCAGATAGAAAAACAAATTATTGGGATTTTGTCATTACGTATACAATAATAAATGAAAATGATCCTTGCGCAAAGCATTTTTTATATATTTTTGTGAAGGACATCCGGACATCCGCCCAACGCTTCACTTCCGCTAGTTGCAGCAGTTGCAGTACGGGAGCAGACGCCTTCACTTTGGGGGCGTTTTGATGCAGTTTGTTGTCGTATGTCGTGTCGGTGTCGAGAAGAGCGGTGGGGCTTGGGAGTTTGTGACCGGTGTTATTCGTGAACACTGGTGTGGGGCGCTGATCCGTCTTTTTTTATACTGCCACCACCCCGAACTTTGAAGATACACGGGCCCGTAGCAGTGTATTATGCTGAATCGCGAGCTCCTTCTCTGTTGACGTCGCTTTCCTGGTAACACTCGTGGATACTGCAAGCGTTTAAACAGTGTGCATCGTCTCGCCTACATCCCCGGTGACGTACTCGACCTGTTGAAACTTATTGCTTCCGTCATTTCAGAGTACGCAAGGCAATTATCTCGTTGTTCTGGTTTCGGTTATAAAAGCAAGGCAAAACGCTCGTAGTTCCCGCCCTCAGTACACGTTGGACATCTTCCACACTTTGACACCGGATAACTGAATGAACGAGGATTTACATTCAATTCCGAGGTTACTCTCGCCGCTTCCTCACCGTTGAGCAGCAGGATGAGCTGGCGACAAGCCGCGGATGAAAGGCTGGAGCATCAACAGCCCAAGCGCACTCGGGGCCGATGCGAGCGACGCGGGTTTCTGTCAACCGGGAGGCCAGCACAAACCGTGACCATTCCAGCTCTTCGTCATGACACGGTGTTGCAGAGAGCAGGGTAAAATACAGCTACACGGATCACCGAAGCAAACGACTGCTATCTTAAATCTTGGCTTGTGATTGCGCCTTTGTAGTAGATCATCTTATTCGTTTTGCTGGAGAGACGCAAACGACGGGCGTAACAAAATCGCTTGCATATTCCGCATATCTCACAAAAGCATTTACCCTGTCACCTTGCGAAAAGCGCGAAACACGGAGTCCGCACCGTCCTAAGCTTCCCGTTTTTTACCTGCTTTAGAGCAGTTTGTACCTGCTAGTAGATATGCCTGCTGAAACTGAAACAGGGCAGTGCCAGAGAGAAAGAGACAAAGTTGAGAAAGCTTGCTCGCTCTCTAATTTCTCAACTCTCAAGTGATTGTACCATAATAAATGCACCAACGCGTCTTCCAAAATAAAGAAAGAGCACTACGTTCACAACATAAAAAATGGTCTCAGTACATGCATCTGTGGGCAGGTAGGAAACCTTGCCCTTATTTATTCAGGCCGCATGATTGCCGCAACAAACTCGTTGCAGGACCGAATCATACTCGAGCGGTGTGCGTCGCTATGCAAACGCAGTCCAACACGAAGCATAAGAAACGGCAGATTTAAGACAACAATCCGGAGTCCATTATTCAATTAAAACAACGTAATTTTGTTGAAAACGCCCGCTGCTTCTAACTCACGGTATGTGTCGGGATACTTCCACAGTTCGAAACGGAACGAGGGAAGATTTACTTTTAAAAACGCTCGCTGCGTCCTCCCGGACCAGCTGGACCGGATCAGCTGACGACGACGGGACTGTACCCGTTGAACCTCCACCACGCAACAAACAATTTGCGCTCCGTGTTAAAAGCGTGGTTCAAACAGACCCGGAATACAAAGCACCGCACCACACACGACGAATGTTTCAGCTCTTTTTCGCATCGCCGGGTTGCACCAAACAGAACGAGATCGCCGAAGTCAACGCCGCGCTGTCGTGAACCTTGGATTGTGGTTGCGAACTCGTGGACCCTGTGACTCCCTTCGCTTTCAAAGCACACACGACGATTACGAATGCTACTTTCCGTCTTCCAGGAACATCACAGGGGCACTTCTCCGGTCACGTCTTCACTATGTGCCCGCAAACTCCGAAGCTCTATGCGAAGCTTCTCGCGTCCCGTCAAACCAAAACAGTAGCGACGCCGTGCGTACTTGCCAGATTTTTTCCGGTCAAACAAAAACAACGAAAGCCAACCGGCGCTTGCTTCCAGCGTACATCGGCGTTGCGCTTGCGCCGTGGCCAGATCGCTTGCAGTTGAAGGTTAAAGCAAAAACGAAACCAACTGCAATGTCACGTGTTCACATCGAGGACACGCTTTTTATATCCATTTTAACTGTTTGGAACGAATAATTAGACCCATAACTTTATTTGTGGTGTCTAAGAAACTGTTATCAGGACCCCTAAACTAAATACAAACATGGGCGACATGAAGCGAGCCCCATTGCCATCGACCAGAAGATGGCGGCGAGCCCGGTAAGCGTGGGTTTCGCCAACGTCCTGCGACATGGCGCAATTGCTTTTGGTGCATATCTGTCTCCGAGACATGTTTCTTTCCGCGGCATTTGTCTCGACGGTCCTTTCTAAGTGTGTCCCCAAACATTCCGGTGCTTCAATAGCCGGCAATGCCGCGGTCGTCGCCGGGGGCGATGCGTGTTTTCGAGGTCGGCTACACGGTTATGCGTGTATGACCGAACCAAAACACGTTTTTTACAACCTCGCATGATTTCTGAACGAATTATCCGTTACTCATCGTGTAAATTTATGGTAATTTGTGTAAATGGCGTGTTTTTCACCCCAAATATTCGCCAAATACACGGGACTTGCTAACAGTGTAGGGGAGTAAGGCCGCGTGCGTAGCTAATTAAGTACGGTAGATTGTTTTTTTTTTGTTTTTTTTTATGCAAGAAATCTGAGACTATTGAGTATGCATTCATTTTTTGCATAGATGCCGTTTTTTTTGTTTTTTTTTAAACGCGTTGCAGCGCAGGCTAAAGAAAGATATGTGTATTACCCCGTCTGGTATTCGTTTTTTGAAAGCGATGAACGATGACTGCGTGCCATTTGATATATTTTTTCTTTTGGGTCTTTGTATTATTTGGCGCTCACGCATGGCAGTACGGCTTGCCGACCCCACTTCCACAGAAGTTCGCTTCTATTTCTTCTCTCTTGTGAAGCAGGACGAGAGTGTTTTTTCCACGTGCGAGCCTAAGCCCGAATGGTTAGGACTTTGTAAAGCGCTTTTTGGAAATGAGAGCCTTTTAAAACGCCCTGCAGAAGTCTTGCAGCGGATTTTTAAATTGAATTAACATGTGCGGTTTGTGCTGCAATAAAGAAACAAAAAAGTAGCTAACCAACTCGGCAGCGCGCTTGGCTCCCACGCAAACGGGCCGAGGTTCGATGCCTGATAATGGCATAGAATTGTGGCATTTTGGTAAATTCGAGAACCCTTTTGGCTTGTTCGAGGTCCGTGTGTTCTACGCGTCGAACCTTCTACGCCGATTGTTTCAGAAGCCCAAGCATGTACAAACAGGGCTCCGCATGGCGAGCTGGAGTCAGTCTCTCCCAGGCTCTCGATCCTGCTGTTACGCCGCCGTTGACGCCTGCCACGCCAGTTTTTTCTATTTTTGTTTTGGGCACCAGTTCGCCCATTAAACGTTTAGTTCTAGTTTTTGTTTCTCCCATTGGTCCCATTGATGACACAAGGCACGAAAAAAAAGGGGGTTAATCTCGTACTTGTTTTTGACATTCGGACCATTGAGGAAAATTAATAACGTGCAGTGTAATTAGTTTATTCAGTACTTTCGAATAATTATGTTTTAATTAGTCTTGCTGAAGATAGGCTTTCAAATATAAACTTCCTAGTTATCATCAGAAATGACAAAATCAACTGAATAAAGAAAGGTATCAGACGCCCACATCATTTTGCGGTGTTCCGAAAAAGCAAAACCCTCACTTTGGACGAACTGCTATGTTTCGGTTTCCTATCGGAGCGCCTTTTTCAGGCGGTGTTTTAGTGTTTCTTCTTTTTTAGTAAAGAAGTCAAATAATCTTAATAAAAGCTCCCGGCACATTTTTTGACTGATTGGGTTGCTTCTCTCTGGCATGTTTCAAATGCCTATATGTTTATTTGTTTCATCAAATAGAAGGCACGTAGCAAGTCGGCGGAGGGGTGTCTTCAGCTCGGCTTCGCGGGTATCAAGCGAAACGCTCTTTTTTCTTTCTTGTTTTTTAACACCCCGCTTCACCATCTGGTTCATTTTTTCCTGGCGGGTGGCGAAACCTTCAGCTATTGCTCCCCGTTCTTACTTCAAAAAATATCCTGGCTACAGGCCAGCCCGAGTCGATCCCACTAACGGCAACATTGCATTATAATTTATAAATACGTTCATAAGAATACTTCATTTGGTTATATTTGTTTGTAACCTTGACTTTCTGTGCAACTTTAGGACTTTTAGTAACATTGCTGCATTACAAATTCTCGGTGAGATGCGTTATGGTTGCTGGGACCTTATTCGGATCTATTGGCCTGTTGGCCACGGGACCAGCAAAAACTATTCAAGTTGTAACCTTCACATTTGGAGTTATTCATGGTAAGTGCTAGTGCTGCTGTTTGTGTAGGCCTTTCAATTTTAAAAGAAGCCCTCCATTCAACAACAATACCATATAATCAGGAACGTATCTTCAATATAAGGTACCATAATGCGACGTCTGATACAGACACGCGAAAGTAATAAAGGTGTCTTCCTTTAGTTTGGAAAATGTTTCGAAAGACTTATCACTTTCAGATGGTCAGATTTTTCTAACTCACAAACAACATTGCCTAAATAGAACATAACAGAAGGGCTCCTTCATGAGCACCATAAAGATTAACACTTTTGGTCTGACTGGGACGCATAGACAAAAAAAAAAAACACTGTTAATTATGACTTCGTTTTTGCTCCGCGGCTTCACTCAATACGGTTAACGTCTCGCCATATTGCATAGGCACCACATTTTCTGGGAGCACTAATTCTAGCCATGAAAAGGGGGGAATATCTTCTTCGCTTTTATTGTACGTATACTTTATACTACATCATTGTATGCTTGTGAGATCAATAAAATTTGTGCCAGGTGGCTTTAATGGCAAAACCGAGCGATTTGTGAGATTGCCGATAATCAAACCGAATATTTATTATCCAGGCTTGCATTCTGCAAGCATTCATGAAACAAAGAGGAACACAGCGCGTGGTAGAATGGTTGTTTTAATGACCCTTGTGGGTTAGCCAATTCAGTTTTTACACGTAGGCACTTCCTCGTATCCATATTTATGAACTTTGAGGTAAAATGAAAGGAGTAATATTATATATTCTTTTCTTGATGAGCCTCCCAAGCGTCCCCAGTGCACGAACGCTAGAGAAAGCTTTGTTTTTAAACTTTTTTTATTACTTTGTTTTTTTGGTGGGGGGGGGGGGGGGGAATACTAAATTGTGTAATTTCTTTTTTTTTTAAATAAATTTAGGCAACTGTTTTTTTATGTTGATTCAACCATACTTTGTTCTGCTACAACCATCCATGGTCAGGGGCCGGAGTAAAGTCGTCCCCGGAATGCGATTTGAAATACAAAAAAAGAAACATTTTAATGCCTTAATATTTGAGTTTATAAATACATTGCAATGCAACAAAAACTTCTTGGGACTAAACTCATGAATGTTTTAGTAATAATAATTATCACAGCTAATTTAATGTGTTGGTTTGTAGCCTTCAAACCTTTAGCACGAGACACACAAAGAAGCGCACTAGCTGCAAAAAAAACTATTAAAGTGAAATCTAAGCCGATGTGCACCGCATTAAAATAATTAAGTGAATCGAAAAAAACAAAAACAACATTGAAGTAATTGTGCGCATGTACCTTGGCTTCCATCTGGCATTAGGAATGTGGCAATATAGCGCGAAAAGTGCACCTTCGGTGGTGTTCATCCGTGTACCATAAATCCCGCACAAGCCTGCCTTGTACAAATAAACCTTTTATAAGAGTAATGAGACACGTCACGTTATATGTACAGGTTCACAATGCCGAGAAACAAGCAGAAGGAGTGTAGGAACTGTGAACTTGCATGCAAGCGTTATGATTTTTAGTACACCAATGTATAGCACGTGATCCACACACCTTCCGCTTCACTGTAGGTAGAACCATTGTTAGATCTGTATTTTCACTGATAAAACAAAACATTTGCTTTCAGCTGTTGGGAGCGGCACCGTCTTTGTTTCGGGAATCCTACTCACAACGGCCTACTTTGAACGTCTCAGAGGATTCGCACTGGGCTTCGCAAACCTCGGGATGACGCTCGCAGGCCTTATTTTCCCGCGGCTTCTTAAATTTTTGAAAGAAACGTACGGCTTCTCAAGTAGCTTTTACATTTGGGGAGCCCTAAACCTAAATCTTATTCCACTCATCCTTTTGTTTAAAGTTCCTCCTTGGTATACACCAGGAAACATGAAACAAACTTCAGCTGGTATTGCACATAACTCTGGAAAAGAAAGAGGCATGGTAAATAATGAAGAAAATAATCAGGCTAGCTCTACGTTCCCGGAAACCGTACTTTCTATCGCTCGTCGTCCAGTTTTCTACTTGGTGGAAATTTCATCCGGCATAAATGCTTCGGTACAATTTGTAGTCTTCACGACAATGGTAGATTTCGCAATGGACAATGGTACTGCTGATACCATCGCTCTTTGGCTAACACCATGTTACTTGGCTGTCTGCTCCTTAGGAAGGATATTCCTTCCTCTAGTGGCTGACAAAAAACTCGTGCCCCGGAGTGATTTGCTAACCGCTTGCTACGTCGTTATGGGTGTCACGCTGCTGCTTCTTCCACTTGCGACGAACTTCTGGGTGATTGCGGCACTGTGCTCATTGACGGCAGCGGGCTACGGGTGCAACTACACACTGCATGACGTCCTGGCCATTGACTATTTTGGATTGGAGAGGCTACTCTTTATGCATGGAGTTATGGGACTTGCCAAGGCTCCATTTCAGCTCTGCATGCCCAAGCTAATCGGTGAGTCCCGTCAGCTCCCCTTAATTACTACGAATGACAAGCAGGCAGTCAGCATAAAGACGTCACACGAAAATTTGTCATTGCAAGACTAAAGGAAAGGTGATTGATTGAAGGCGCGTTTAATTCAACATTGTTTACGCACATGTGATGCTGCTGCCGTAGGTAAATGGAAGGGGGGTTATCGGGAGGGAGGCTGCCTCCGTTTTTATTGCGATGCCCCTTCCGAGTCGGCGGCGCTGGAGCTTTTGGAGGTGTCTCGGGGCGTAGACGCGGAGCGTGTTTTTGTGCTTCAAGTCTTGAGGCCTGGCGCCGACCGGGGGAACTGCCAGGTCCTGAAGGCATTCGGAGCTCCATGGCAGCCATGGAGGTAGGAAGCTTCTGGAGGCGACATGACGCCGGGAGCCGGAGAGGACTTCCGGTTTGAAGGTGCACGCCTGCAACAATAATCAATAACCAAACAAAACCAGAAGACGCTCTTGGCCGAGAAGGACAGCTGATTTGGCCCCAACGGATTTTTTCTCTCTTGGTGGTTTTCCTACTGACCATGTCCTCTACTTTCGGCTTTAATTGGCATTTTGTATTTTGGCTGGCTTGAGTCGGTATGTCGCCCTCTCTTCTTCCTTCCTCCATGTTCACAGCCGTCGAGGTGGTGGGGTGTCCCAGACAAGTCCACGCGTAAGCGAGGTGGGCCTGATACATCGCTGAAATCTGACAAGGACTCGGCTCCGTAGTCAGGAGTATTGCTGGCGGTACCAAAGCAGGTGCTCTAGGCCCGCTCTGACGTGGCACAACCCGCTAGTGGCGAAGTTATAAGCTGGTGCCCCTCGGGTCCTACACTGGCAGCTGCTACCATTGCTGCTGTTGTGGTGGAAGTGCTGTAAGAAGTAGGGGGTGACCAATTTTTCGGTTTGGATTTGCTCTGCCGGCGCGTAAATGATCGAGAAGGGGAAGAAGGGAAAAGGTGTGGCAGGCACGAAGCCAGGGGGGGGGGGGGGGGGGGATGGGACCCGGGCCCCCCCGAAATCTTCCATTTTGCTGGGACCTCCTCTCCCCCCTCCCCCTCATACAACATTTTGCCATAATTTGTTTGTTTTGTTATAGTTTCCGAAAATCTAGGATTGTCTGAATGTCATTGCATTGTCGCCTGGTGCACACATAATTTAAAAAAAAAAAAAAATCTTAAGAACAATCGCGGAGAGCGTGCGATGATCACAGAAAACTGCAGCACAAATGCGGCTGCAATGTTATTGAGCTTCACATTTTCCCCCAAGGATCCATATTTATAAATCCGTCGATTGCGAGCATTAATCGCGAGGGCTTTGTATCAGACAGATCGTCCTGTAGTCACGACTACTTCGTCTAAGCAAGCGGATCGATTACAACCCGGTGTCGACACATCGATTAGCAAGGGATGCTATTTCTTCAAGGCATTTAAAGGATACGAAAACGTCTACGTACCAGAACTCAAGATTTAGTTGTCAATGTCTGGAACTTGTCTGCACAGACTACATAAACTACTCATAGATTCCTTTGTTGTGCAAGCTCAATCAAAACATACTACCGTCTTCGTCTTCGTTCTTTCGAGGAGGCAAGGTGGTGGCCTTTCATTACCCAGCTTTATTCAACGGGCCAAGTTCCAGCCAAGTTAGAGTAGCCCACCATAGCCAAATCTAGCCAAGTTTCGCCTATACCCAGACCCTTGCCTACACAGATAGCTCCGCAGCCACAACCAGCCGGTATGTTAAGTTTTAATCCCCTAGAGGGCGTCGTCGGTGCTGTCAATCTCAAGATGGCGACGCCCTTAAAAAAAGGTCTATAATCATGTATTTTGTTGTAGCTAACGCGTGATTGCGGCAGTGTTTCTAATTCGGCGATAATTGAAGCTTGTTCTATGTTGGTTTTCTGTTTCTTTCTTTCCAGGATTTTTCAGAGACGACGGAGGATCGTATGACAATGTCTATCGACTCCAAGGCGGACTATTACTATTTGCTGCGCTATTATGGCTACCCGTGGCTTGCAGGGAACGACGAAACCGCATCGGAAAATTTACATCGAATAATCACAGATAGCATACTATGAAATATGCTAGAATGATAGTCTGGCGTGTTTTTATTTTTGGACTAAAAGCTAGGAGAGACATTTGGTGCTGCAGAATTGTTTTATTTTAAAATGTTGACCAAAGGGCTGGTTATCTAGCCTGAAGATTCCGAATCTTCGCATCACAGCTATATCCTCCTTTATAACATCGGGCGTTTAAGGAAGTCTTATATCGTGTGAGTTTGCGTGACATTTAAAGTGGCAGCAATCATGTTGACTTGTTTTAGCGCCGTATAGTTTGACTCCTGCCCGCAAACAATTTCAATTATCGAAGGTTTTTTTTTTCTTTTTAATTAAGGCAAAATTTTTTTTTACCGAATACGAACCGTCTAATAACTCTCCAGCGCTCAGCACAGGCGCACTATGTTAAGTATCTCAGGCAAAACACCAATATTGGTCATATATTCGTTCCGTATTGGTAAATAATGTCAAGAATATTGGCCAATACGCGAAATCGCAATGCGGCGCTATAATGGCGCGAGCGTGTGTGCCCATATTAGCCCTTGCGGTGGACCCAATGTCTACCAATATTAGTGCACATTTTTTTTACCAATACTGACTACACGAACTGCCCCCATATTGGCCAATATTGGTACACAATTTCTTGCCAATATTGGCGACACAACCGTCCCGAATGTCGACCAATATTGGTACACGTTTTCTAGCGTATATTGGCTACGCGAATATCCCCAATATTGACCAATATTTGTTCCCATCTTTTAGCCAATGTTGTCTACACCCTCTCCCAATATTGTACTATATTAGTATACTTATTCTAGCCAGTATTGTCTACACCACCTTACCCAATATTGACCTATATTGGTTCCACTCTTTTAGCCCACACTCACAACATGACCTTCCCAATATTGCCCTATGTGTATCACATTCTGTTAACCTATTTTGGGGATTCGCCTCTCCGCATAGCAACCAGTATTGGGCAATTGTTTTTACCATGCTTCCACCAATAAATGTCATAGTTAATTTACATAGATAAATACAACACTCTTTTTTTCACTTTTTTATTTTTTAGAAACCAGAAGGCAGGCGGGCAGTCTATTTACTCTTCGGCACTTTGCAGAGGGTTTCGGCCCTGCCGCGCTTGGCCTTGCGTTTCTCCCACTAAATCTTCTGTCTGCCCCGCTTGGCCTTGCGTTTCTCCCACTTGGTCTTCTGTCAGCCACGCTTGGCCTTGCACTTGCTCCATTGAACCTTGAACCTACTCAGCTCGGGTGATGCATAGGTTAACAGTACAGTGCGAGACGCCTTTGTTGGTACCACTTGGGGGCAGGAAAATACAGGATAAGGTCGCGGCTAATCCAACCCCAAGAGGCAGCATCAAAAGGAGTTCCTCGCCGTCAAGATGGCAGTGGAAAAAGGGGTAATATGAAGGGTGGCGACAAGGATTTTGATACCAAAAAAACCTTCTTGTGGGTCGGCCTTTAAGCGAAAGCCAGGCCGAAGCTACAAGTGCGAGGATGTGTCCCTGAACAGTGCTTGCACTGCACGAGCACCCGTGCTTGACAGGGACGCTAAAAGCCCTCAGCTCGACCTTGTAGCTTCTGCCTCGAGCACACTTAAAGTGAAACGGATTACAGGAAGCTTCTCAACTGACCTTGATCAAGTAACGTTGATGGCATGAGCGCTTATTCACGTTCGGGTATTCGCGTGCATGCGACAATAAGGTCTGTTGAACAAAACGTTGCAAATAAATTTGTCACCGTGCTACCTTCATCAAAATTTGAGTTGAAAGTAAAAATAAAATTGCATTTAAACTTGCATGATTTCAAAACCCAATAAAAGTGCCCCGCCTCTTTATTTTTGTGTCAGGGGCACGAGGGGGAGGGTATTTCTTAATATTCGTCTAAAATAAAATTAATTCAGAAACCTGATACGGGCAAGTCCCCGCCGACGATCCTGGAGGCTGTGAAGCTCGGTGGTTAATTTCACTGGTGTAGGAGAAGTCATTGATATTTGTAATCCGAATACTGCTGCAGTTGAATATACTTTGCGGAAGAGATAGGGTTGTAGTCTGCGACAATAAAATATATAAATAAATAGGCAGCTAAGAATATGATCCAGATAGTCACTAAACAGCAGCTGCCCCGGCAGTGAAGGAAATTGAAGTGATCCCGTGACCCTCCTAGTAGCGCCGGTGACCGACTTCTTCATACTATAGTCTTATAAGCAAACCCTGCTATGTCCACAAGGGGCGCATCTCACCCATTCGTCCTCGAAGCGTGGAGCTTCTGGATTGCTTAAGACCACCACGTTGAGACAGTCAGTGACACGCACCTTCGGAAATAGACAGAACGCGGAGAATTTGTGAACTAAATCTGATGGTCCTCATAGACGACTTCACGTACACGTAGGAAGTATTTTGGACCTTTCTACTTTACCTCTAGGGCCTCGTGTTTCAGGGGTGCCAATAAGGACCTTGGTGACGCTAACGCTTACCCGAGGGCAGCAGCGGATTGGTGCAAATCTCCAAAAGTATACGAGAAAACGAGCGATATGGGGCTCCTTCAGGTATGAAATGTACGCAAAGATTGTAATTGTTTTATCTTCCAAGCATTTACGCTGCTTGGAATTACCAGATATTACAAATGTAAGTATAAATAAAGACCTAGAAATAAAACCTACAAAACAATCAAATCAAAGCACGCTATTGTCATGTCCTATTGTACTTTGCCATAAAGTATTGCAACTACAAACTTCATTATTAGCTAATATTTAGCTAGCGATTTCCTCTCCCAGCGTTTGTTTTGGCGCGTATCTCCCTAGCTGTTTTAAATAAAACACAGAAACCATGTTGTATGTATTCAAGGGGCCGTGCAATAATATCCGCGAGGAATGTTTTTCGCTGTACAGGAGTTTGCTGACACTAGTGGGAACCTAGTATACTCGCACAAAACACCACCTACCAAGAAACTCTCTGTTGCGGTATAATGTCAAGGACAAAAGCGAGCGTTTTCATTCAATCTCTCATTCGGAAATCCTGATGACGTAGTTGGGCGGTCGAAGTACCACCCAGTGACGATATCCTAATTCGGCTCATAGATTAGACCCGACCATTGCGTGAGCACTCGATTTGGGCTCGTGATAATGAATAGCTGGAAAAGCATTCAGGTTGTGGCCCGTGTCCAATTGCTGCAAAGACGACAATATCCGAACCATAACAATGTCTGGAGCTCGGCGCGTGTCCTGTGCTTTGCCAATCCCATCGTGTGGCTATGATTGACAATGGCGGAATATAATAGGCTCCAGGTCGAGTTGCTCCTTGTTTTGGCTGCGAGTTGAGGGGTAAACGGTACTCGTTTCTTATTTTGTTTCTGCGACTTCCATGGCGTGTTGTGAAAAACGAACGTGTTTTTCATAGGTCATTAACGTCAGGGATTCATTTAAAGTGGTATTTGCGCGAAGGACAAAATTTGTTGCATCACCCCTTTAAGGTGGGGGGGATCAGTGGTCGAGTGGGCTAGCGCACGCCAGCTTGGATAACGTGGAGCTAAAGCTCCAGCTGCCGAACTCAGGGATCCGGGATTTAATTTCCAGCCCTGCCGGTTTCGATTTGGATGAGCATCGCCCCGGCGTACGGTCCTGTATCACCACCACCTGATGCACGTTAAAGACCCTAGGCTAGCGGTTGAACTGCACTGGCTAAATTTCTTATCTACAGGTGGGAGACAAGACCGTTGAGGCGGACTAAGTTCTAGACTGTATAAACATACGCACACACCCATTTTTATTTTGTTTTAAGGCGTCTTGAAGCGTAAAGATGGGGGGGGGGGGGGGGTTGTTTAATGAATGGCCTTACGGCTGTGACTGGGGCCTCATAATCGCCAATAGATTCCCACACTAGACATGTACATGCAATAAACTCGTCGTTTGGCTGCTGCCGCAGAGGCGAGGCCGCCGAAGCGTGCAACGGAAAACGAAGAGGAAAGACATCCGATGGAAAGGCTTACGCATTTCTATCGGGTAAATCCCATTGGATCCTCGAGCGATTTTTAATTGTGGGAGTGGTGAATCGCTGTTGTAGGAGCTAAAATGGCAAAGGCTGCCGATGACGTCTGTGTGATGTGCAAAGAGGAACCACAAAAAGGAGCTCAAAAAATGAAGTTCTGTGTATGTAATTTCATTAACCACTTGGGACAATTTTCAGGAGTAATGGAAACGAGTTTTACGCCTGAAGAAGGTACCCGGCGTAAGTCACGTCGTTGCCCAACCTGCGAACTACCTAGCCAACAAAGTGGGACATTACGGTGAAGAAAAAAAAAAGGATTCCAACCTGGATTCGTTTATAGACATGGTAACGCTTGCAGCAATTAAAAAGAAAAAAAATGGACACTTAGATAACGTTATATATGCAGTGAAAGGGATAGAGACTTTCATTCACGTGCTATCAGACAAGTATGAGTAAGTAATAAACCACATTACTCAGCATAATGAAGAGCTAGACGAACTAAGGAAAGATGAAATGCGAAAAAAAAATGCTCCAATCTCCACTGTGAAGGTCGTTCGATAGCGAAGCTGTGGTATTTTGGCGCAGTTGTTGATGTTCGGAGTTGTTGAAGCTCATTGTCCAGAGTTTACCACAGACATTCGACACATCTCCGGCCACAAGAACGTCGTTGCAGATGCCCTATCAAGAATGACTGTGAATGCAATAGGCGCCACACGTCCTTCCATCGACTATCCTGCACTGGCCACGTCACAAACTCTGGACAATGAGCTTCAACAACTCCGAACATCAACAACTGCCCTTGTCCTAGAAGACGTCCAGCTGGATTCACCTTCAGTGAAATTGGTTTGCGACATGTCAACTGGCACACCTCGACCTTATCTTCCCCCCGAATTCAGACGAAAGATCTTCGACATGTACCATTCTCTATCACACCCTGGCATTCGTGCCACTCAACGCTTAATTGCAAAGCGATATGTGTGGCCTCGAATGAACACAGACGTTCGTCACTGGGCTCGGACATGTCTAAAGTGTCAACGAACCAAGATTCATCGTCATACCACTACCCCAATTTCAACATTTC